AGTGGCATAGGCTGGCGAGAACTGGAGCTGTCGAGAAATGCGGGGTAGCGCAGGATGTTGACAAACATAGGCTTGGCGATGGAATGTTCAAGCCAGACAAGGAAACTTGTCAGGGGCATAGGCTGGCGACAACTGGGGCTTTCGAGGAATGCGGCAGCACAGATTGGTGAGGAATATGGGCTTGGCGATGGAATGTCCAAGCTAGACAGGAAAACTCGTCAGAGGCATGGACTGACGAGAATTGGGGCTGTCAAGGAGTTCACATGCAGAAAGTGGGAGCATAACTGGGGTGTTTCCAAGTTGCTGAAATCATGAAGCACATGGGGGAGGAAGTTCTCCACTATATCCTAGAAATGGGGATATGGGTGAGCCACAAATGATCATGGGGATCATGGGGGAGTAAGTACCTATTATGTCCTGAAATATGGGGATCATGGAGGTGCCCTGTAGCTCACATACTTGGCTATAAATGGTGATGGTAATTCTTTGTTGTATAGGGTGAATACATAGAGAATAGAATGCATAGAGAGGAAATAACGTATGTAAACTTGTTGGTGTAGCATGCGAATTCTGTGCATAGCACACGTTGTGTAATCCTTTGTTAATGAGATAAATAAAGGTTGAGAGGTATTCTTGTAATCTCAGTGTGCTTGGTTAAGAGCAATTCTACTTGTGTATTCCGCTTGTCTTTAACATGGGAAAGTGGGGAAACCTCTCGGGTGAGGGAAACACTTAGTTAATAGGCAAACACGAGTGGATAGACGAGGGAAGGTTGAGTCTAGCGAGGGACTAGGCTGCCGCACGGGTTTATTCACGTAGCGAAAAATTACCCCGTGACAAACTCCATTATGCTACCCAAGAAGCTACCATTTATTCTATAAGAGGTCCTGTTTAACCCCGAAAAGATGAGAAGAAGAACAGATAAAAGGGAAGCATCAGCGTTACAATTTTACATCGGATTTACAAGCTTTCTCACAACTCACACCTAAAATGAATATCACCTCTGGATCATCTAGAAGTCGGAGAGGAGTTGCATCTGTACTAAGGAGGTCTCTGACGGATTCGTTGTAAATCTCCTTGGCAGAGAATTTCAAACTCTCTTTCCTTGAACTCCAAAAGGGGGGAACACAATAAATTTTCATCGAGAAGGAGAACATCTAAGGAATAAAAAAAATGGAGTATTTAGAGTAATGATAGAAAATTGTATCAAGTATTCTCGTTACCTTCTCCACAGTCATATATATCTGTTACAGTGTACTCAGTAATTCCACTCACTGTACGTTTTTCCATATGCAAATACACTTGCTGAAGAAATTCAACATTGCGAGGAATACAAAAGGAAAAAGATAAAAAAACACAAACAGAAATTTCAACAATGAACAAAGGAGGTTGTACTCACAGTTTATACCACTGACGACTGAAAGAGCAACTTCCTTGGCTCCTTCTCCATATACATGCTTAGTGGAGCAATCAGACCCAAATACTCTATCTATCATTAACAAATTAACCAAACAACAGAAAGAAACAAGACGGATGGGATGAGTATTTGAAAATATTCTGTGATGCAAAAGTATACTTCCATAAAGATGCTCCTAGGGACAGCGGCAGTGAACATGCAAAAGAAACTCATTAATACAAATCCAGCAACTTTACAATATTGTTGCAAGAGCAAAAGAGAAGAAGTTGAGGCCAAAACTCAGGAAAGAGTCAGCATTAGGAGATCCGTATACATGAACTCAGAAATATGAATACATAATAAAAGACTAAGCCACATTGCAAGTTCCCAAACTATAACGTTCAAGCAAAACGCTTGTGATAATTCAGCAGAACAGTGTAATTTGCACAGCAGATGTGATGAAGTTATATCCAACCATGGCGGCCTTATTAATCATTTGTGACATCAATAGAAGTGCAGATGCAATAAACAAAGAAAATGAAAACAAACTAAAAAAGTGATAAGCAATTTCTGACCAAATGTATAAGCTGTTGGGTACATGGACCGCTCAGACACTGGAAGGTTATTCCTGTATATGACAGTGTCATAATTGATGGATTCCCAATCTGATACATCATTCCTTGCGATTTCCTTCTCATTCAAAGGCCGCAGCCGAACTGAAACAAAAAATTTCTCCTCACCACCACCACTCAGCCCGTGCATTGGCCCATCCGCATCAGCTGCCCCCATCGCTCCCATTCTCCAAACAAAACTGAAATTTTTTCATATGTAGAAAGGTCAATCTATCACCAATTGTCATATTCATATATGCCATAAATAATCATTCTGACTCTCTCATTTTCATCTCTCCCCCACAGCCATTTCCTTCCTTGTTCAGTTAATGACATATGCTTTGAATCTGCTTGATAAATCAATTTTGTTTGGCTCCAGATAACGTAAGGGCCACCATCAAAACTTAACAGCACAATCATCTTAAATCTGACAAACTAATCATGGGTCGTCGCTAAATTCACCGGCATTTTTCGGTCAGTTCATTGTCTCGGGCAAAGAAACCCCATTTCTTTAATATCCTGTATTTATCGTTTAATAAAACAAGGCATGGCCAAGTAAATAAGCCAATTCATCAGCTATTACATTATTCATTTTGAGTCAAACAAGCATTTGCTTATCTAATTAAAATACAAACGAAGTTGGAGTTTGCTTCCCTGTTGCAGTCTGTCTCATGTTCTATTACAGACCATTCTCAATATAAAAACAAAACAAAACAAAAAACAAAAAAGCAGTGGAGCAGAACTTATAATTTAACATTGGAAATTGAGAAAGAATTGACTTACAGCTCTCTTTCAAGGAATGTTTTTGAGCTTTCTAAGAATAATCGCTGCCTCCTTAACTTGTCAGTGAATTTTCAAATTGATCCCTGCAGCATCAAACTCTCCAATCTTATAAACCAAAACCCAACTAAGATAGGATTTTGAAACAGAATTCAAGAATTTAACTCCAAAAAGACAAACTTTTAGCATCATACAGTCTTTTTCTTGGCTGCATTGGCATGCAACAACTTAAACATAACAAGAAAAAAATCTAAAAAAGGCACCTTGTGAATTTTGAAGGAAACGTAGGGGGGGAACAAGGATTGTTTGTGCCTTCACTTTATTACTCTTAATGGGCTATTTTTGTGGTCTTAAATGGGAGATATTTCAAGGCAAATGAGTGGGGTGTTTCTGAGTGGTTGTTACGGAGTCTTAACTGTGGTGGTTTGTTGCTTTCCTAGGTGCTCCGTTGGACGTTATCGTTAGCCCTTCATTTAAAACTACCGCGCTAAACACATAACCCACCCACAAGACACACCAAAAAAATAAAAACATCCGGTTAACATAACTAAATCAGCCATCTAAGGATGTTTTATTTAATTTGTCTTGGATTACTGTAGAAATTGCTTTTCAAATTATTTTTTATTTAAAAATATATTAAAATAATATATTTTTTATTTTAAAAAATTTATTTTTAATATTGTACATCAAAACAATTCAAAAATAAATAAAATTAATTATAAACAAGAACAAAATCAATTTTTTAGCTAATAATATTTTGGCTGCAATAGCAAACACCAACTAAACCTTAATTAGGTTATTAATTATTGTTTATCATCACATTTGACACCTCTTACAGCTTTCGGTTACCACCACCATTTATCTTGACTTTCCCTTATTTCTGCCAGCTCTAGAGTGAGGCCAGATTTGGAAGTTTAAGATCATCACTAAATGCTTCTCTCGTAGATCTCACATGTTCGGAAGCAGAATAAGAACGGGAATATACTTGGAAGTTTAAGATCATCTCTAAGCTCAGAGTTTATTTTCTTCTCGGGAAGAAAGGATCCGACCTTTTTTCTTTCGACTTTTATCCTCCCTCTATTGATTTTCGAGTTGTAAATCTAAAAAGCTTGCACCCTTTTATTTTATTTTATTTTTCTAGCTGATAAAAAACATTAATTTCAGCAATTATACTTTCATTTTAGATATTGTTTTATTTGAATCAAAGAGAAGGGGAGGGACCATTTCATGAGGTACTGAGGTCCATGGACAACCTCTTCGATAAACAACTATATTTTAGAAAATGTTATTAGGCTATGGCTATAACGCTAGAGAATACAGTCCACACACTTATATTCTGTGTATCAGTCATTGAATTAATTTCTTGCGTTTCACTTTGAGACAAAACCCCATGCGGTGGAAGGAAGAAAAATGCTAAGCGGAGAAAGTAGAGGTTGTTTTAATTTGTTAATTTTTATATTTAACAAATATTTTTGAAAAAATTAAAAAATTTAATTTTTTACTTTAAATTATTTTTTTAATATCAAAAATAAAATTTTAAAAATAAAAAATATATTTTTATATAAAAAAGTATTTTAAAAAATAATTATTACCTTAATTTTAAATTAAAATAGTGCAAAACCCCATGCGGTGGAAGGAAGAAAAATGCTTTGCCATTCGTTCCTTGCTTGCTTGGAGGACCCTTGCATGCACGTGTCTGGAAAAATTGTCCATGACACAACTTTTGATAAAGAGAAACAAAATTATTGCAGAAAACACTAAGCTCTGTGGCCTTTTTTTTTCTGTAGCACCTTCACTTTACTGTAGACACTCTCAAGATGCAATATGGACTCACTTTTTACTTTCGTTTCTTTTCTTCTTTCTTTCTTTTTGTTCAATTTTGCCCTTTCACTACAAAATTTGAGGACAATTTAAGTTAAATTATTAAGGAAGCATAAAATTAAAAGGCAAATGGCCGAAGTGAAAAAGTCAAGTAAAATATATGGTGGTTTCAAAGTTTGTGTAAAAAATTATTTTTATCCTTATATTTTTCCAATGCAACTTTTCAGTCACTAAAATTTCTTCAAATTCAATTTTCATTTAAAAAAACCTCATTTCTTTTATTTTTCGGTTCTTAGTTAGAGAAAAGAAAGAGAAAAGTTGGCTGAATTCTTATTTGACACTAATATCAGCTATAAAAATTCAATCTTAAGGCTTACAGCTCCATTCGATAACGAAAGTTTAACTTTGATGTTATTAATTTTACCTTAAAATTGCTTGAAAATATAGATCTAATCTTAGAAAAAATTTTAGTTTTGGGTTATTTTATTTATTTTTGGATTGATATTTTTGTTATTTTAAGATATTAAAGGGTTTTTATAGATCTTAAGTTATTTTAGATAAAAATAAATTTTTAATGTTGAAAAACCTCAACTATGATTTTTCAACTACTTATGTAGAGATGCAGAATACCTATCATTTATATAAAAAAGAATTGGATGTACAGATGACATGTTGGGTCTGAGCAAGCTTGCTCTTGCTTTGGGATGAAGAATTATTCCATTAGACCAATATTTATGAGCTTGTTTTAAAGGATTTTCCTTTTAAAAAAATTTAAAAATTTATTTAAATGAAATCAAAATTAAAATCAAAGAATTATTTTCAAAAAATTAATTATGCATCAATATTTTTTATATTATAATAGGATAAATATTTTCCTTTTAAAAAAGTTTAAAAATTCATTTAAATGAAATCAAAATTAAAATTAAAATTAAAATCAAAAAATTATTTTCAAAAAATTAATTATGTATCAATATTTTTTATATTATAATAGGATAAATATTTTTTCCACTTAAATTTAAAAAAAAAACATATTTTTCTATGAAATTATCATGATTTCATTATTCAAGTTATTAATTTAAATTATTAAACCAAGTTAGCTTAAGTTTTTTCATTGCTTTTATAAAATTTATTTTATAAGCTAGGTAAACAATGAGTCAATGTTTTATTTCTAGTTTAGTTGATAGCCAATCTTAGATTAGTTGCTAACCATCGTAGATGATCAAAAAGTCAGGGCTCTGATTTTTTAGAGAAAAAAATTATTTTTAATTATTTTTTACTTGAAATTACTTAAATAAAAACACTTAAAAATCTTAATAAATTCATTTATAGCCCTAAATTAACCAAAAATTGGTTAAAAAGTGTTTCAAGCTTCTGTCCACTTTCTCATCCAAGATAAAGACCATAGAAAACCCTAGTAAAATATCTATTACTGAAAAAAACATTGATTTATTTTTATACGATGTCATAAATAGGTCATGCCCATCAATGGTGTGGTCTATTTGAAAATCATTCTCTCCCTCAGCAAGGAGCAAGGAGAAATGTCACCTAGAATTTCAACTTTCAAGGTAATTGTCATGAAGAAGCATAAAGAAGATCCATTTTCATGTGAGTTTCGTGTTATTTTGTTAATTGTTAAGTATCTCTACAAAGATGCCTTATCTCCAAAAAAAATCTCTTACACCATGTGAAAAGTGAAAAGGGTTAAGAAAAGAAGTTTTTATACATTATGCAAAGCAACTAGCTAACAATCCATCTCATCATGAATTCTTGTATTTCTTGAAAACCAAACTACTTGATCAATATTTGTTAGTATGATGATTGATGGTCATATGCTAGGCATGTGATGCCTAATAATTGAAAATCCAACATACTTGAAATTTATGGAAGATTAGCATCTAATTTATTACATGATTGAAAAGGGATTAAAATGATTGAAGAAATAATTGGTTTGTTGTCTATTATGCACAAAATAGGTCTATATGCTTGAATATTTGCTTTGTGAATGACATGATCGTCCAAGTGAGTCCAACTCAATGGAGGGACTTGAAAACAAAACAGGTGATTCTTGCAAAAATTAGAGGGCATATCAAGGTTGGAAATTTTGTTATAATTAGCGTTTTTTGTTTATTTATTGAAAGAAAATATTTTGATGTTTTATTCCAAGGTCTAAGGTCTTGCAATATATTTATATATATATATATATATTATATATATATATATATATATATATATATATATATATTAACTTTAAATTATATAATAAAAACATAATGTGAAGTATCTAAATATAATTTTAAAATTTAAAATATTTTAAAAAAATCAATAGTCAATACTACAAAAAAAAAGCTTTAATTAAAGTAATTCAACACAAAATAAAATATTAAGAAAGTAAGAAGTTTTAATATAAAAGAAAATATAAATCAAACATTATTTTCATCATTAATGTAGAAATACAGATCTTGATCTTGTTATGGTATGCAGGGAAAGTCATTAAATACACATTCTAATCTATAGTCATTTCTACAAAGTACATCATCGTTATCAAAATAGATCTTTTTATCTTTTAAAATTAAAACAGACGAAGATGCTTAGATAGTCTTTCAATTTAAATCATGTTCATCCAGAAAACTAAGTTATTCACAAATTATCTTTTAATAAATAAAAATTATCAAGGCTAATAAGATATAAAATATTATTTATTCTACTCAAAGTCCTATATAATATACACATGAAAGAAAACAACATGAATGTAAATTATATATATTAGTGATAAGTTCTATTTAAAAAATAATAATACCAATATTAATGAAAATAATAATTGTTATATTCAATATTATTATTAATATAATAATAGTAATGTTTTCCATTGATGAGTCCTCAAATTATTGTAATGAACAAAGACTAAATAACATAGTCTCTACCAACCAACTACAAGTTTAAATAGATTTTATTGCTTGATTCTAAACTCTCTTTTGCTAACTAATATGAGATGTTGCTTTCCATGATAAGATAAAAACAGGACTAAATTTAGAAAAGAGATACTAATTCAATCTAAACTGGAACACTGTTCAGTCACTGAGTCATATTTGGAGTTGTAGATCTTGGATTTTAGTTTGTTTATATGGCTAGAAAACTAAGACATAAGCCCAAAATATTCATTATTATCTAAAACTCAATTCTACCATTTAGAAGTTCAGATCTTAACATCAAAAGATAAGTCTGAATCTGTTATGCAGCCCAAATATTGTTTAGTATTCATCACATATCTCGAGTTATAGAAATCCAAATGACCTTTTTTTTTTGTTGGAAAGCTGAGACAATTTTCTAGAAATTTTATGAATACAGTCAGTCCAAATTTTGATATTAGCACAGTCCAAATTTTGATATTAGCAACGACGTTTTGTTCAGACAAGAAAATAAGGATTGTCACTAATGTTGTTACTCAATTTTGGACCCCACATGCTAGAGATGGTGTATACCCGTTTTGAACCAAGTATAGGAATGTAGCTCATGTTTGCTAGAAAATTGACAAAAGCGGAGGAAAAAGAAAGATTTTTTTCGAACCCTGTTTCAGCCATCTCCTGCTCTCTTTATCCTTTCCCAT